TATGTCAGGTTTGTGTTGGATCTATGTTTGGTTTATCTTTGGTCTATGTTGGGTCTATGTCGGGTGTGTGTCAGGTGTATGTCAGGTTTGTGTTTGATCTATGTTTGGTCTATGTCGGGTGTATAGGTCGGGTGTATGTCAGGTTTGTGTTTGATCTATGATCTATGTTTGGTCTATGTTGGGTCTATGTCGGATGTATGTCGGGTGTATGTCAGGTTTGTGTTTGATCTATGTTTGGTTTATCTTTGGTCTATGTCAGGGTTGTGTTGGATCTATGTTTGGTTTGTCTTTGATCTATGGTGATTAAATTACCTTCAACTGTTACGACACAGTGGGTCTTCAGACATACACATTTATGTGCCTTTAGGGCAGTAAATCTGCACGTGAGGACCTCACACTTTTCACTGTAGGCTGATGAAACACAAGTTTCTGTTCTTTTTGTTCTGGGTCAGGTGACTTGTTGACACATGTTTAATGAAGTCTTCTACACTTACTCATCCCTGGTGATTGGAAACATCTAAATTATATCTGTTTCAGTGGCATACTTTACACCAGTTTTTAAAGATTTCGAAAAAGAAAATATACTTACTGTCTGTGTGGCTTTTATCACAAAACACTTCTTCCACTTTTCACCGCTCYTCAGGTGCGTCTTTGACCGATTTTCTGGGCTCTGTGTTAAAAACAGCAGTTATGGCGCCGCTCGGTGAAGCAAAGCCCCGGAGAACCTCCGCCTGTTGGCCGGCTACCTTCATACCTGAGCCCGCCTCACGCAGCACACTTTTCGGGGCCGAACGCGCAGGTGGACACACACACACACACACACCCCTCCCAAACCCGAACACTCGTCTTTCTAAGAAGAGACCGATCCAACATGGAGCCACTCAGACCGCTGCTGAGGGTATTTTGAGCGCTTTTGATTGGTCGCACACGTCAAAGACACTTCCCGAAGAAGCAGCCTGCGAGCTTATCTGATGCTGCGTTCAGAGTCCACCGGAAAATGTGGGACATTYCAGTTACCAGTTCACGACCAAAGACTAAATATAACCGGTTTATGTAAGGTGTTTCAATTACGACTAAGTCCTGTATTTTTGTGATAAACTTATTGTAGATATTTAACAGTATAATGCTTACCTAAAATAAGGAGAAATGTTTATGTTTTTATGTTCTTCAATAAGAAAAAAGAATCTCGCCGAATGAAGGGTTAAATTTCTGAATGGTTGATTTATTTTTCGGTATGAGACAGACATTTGCTTGATGTTAAAATTGGCTATAAAAGTTGTTGAAACTTGCAAAATAAACAAAATTGTGAACTGATAACAGGTTTTTCTGAATACTTGTATTAGGAAGTTAAACTATGCAGTTTTATTTTCTGTAAGTGAAATAGACCAAAAAACTGAAGAAACCCGACAGAAAATAATAATAAACAACAAAATAATAACAAACAGCAAGTTGTCCGTTTTTTCAACGGTTCGTGAACGCAGCACCAGCTTTTCTCCTCTGAAAAGACTTTTGCTGAAACATTTCCTTTGATCAGCATCTTTTATTAATGTAATGATGTATTTTGTCTTTCTCTGAGTGAAGTTGAGGACACTAAGCTCTGTCTGGATGGTTCCTGCAGCATGGGGCGGAGAAAATCCTCTCAGTTTCAAAYCAAGCAGGTTTCAACCGGTACCGGCCTGCTGGCTGCTGTCTCACCCAGAAACAGGAGGGAAGAAAAGAGGAAGAAAGAAAGAAAATTAGCCRCTGAAGTCAGTTTTGTGGTGTGAAATAAGGCTTCATCGGGGCTGATTTAGTGTATGTTTCACTCAGGGTAACAGTTTTTTCTGTTTCTCCAACAGAGCTTTGTGTTGGCTCAGAGTCAAGTGTCACATTCCTCTGTGAGYTGACTTTATGTGGACCATCCTTGGGTGTTTTATAAACTGACCTTTGACTTCCAGCTCATATTTGAACATCTCACATATCCYAGAGCTGTGGGCAAAATACTAACGATAAAGGTTACTTAAAGGAATACCTATCACCTGCAGTCTTTCATGTCAAAGTTTGTTAAAGAACAAAGATTTTAGCCTTTTTGGGTCAAGAAAAATACATTTTTAAAAACGTTTGTGTCTACATATCTACATACTGTATATATCGTATATACTGTATGTATGTATGTATGT